ACTTGGAACAAACCATGTCACTAATGTCTAGCATTCCATTTAGACATCTGGACCAGGAAGGTGCACCTTTCACAAAAGAGTTTCGACAGAGCATCCTAAAGTTAGCAAAATCTTACTATTTTTTCAAAATAGGAGAGGTGCCGTACTCATTTGTTTTTGAATATCGGAGTGATGTTGGACTAGCTCTAAATACTAGTGGGAGTGTTAGGATAATGTGCGATGTGTTGTCTGATGGACTGAAACGTATGGATTTTATAGATCATGGTTGTAAAATGGTGAATGAATATTGGTTCCCCATGAAAAACATTTTATTAACTTTATTGAACTTTACGGACTTGAGTGAGGGGGTCCGGGTATCTGTGACAAATCACCCAGATGTTCTAACTCTTCTGGTGCAGCTGCTCAATGAATGGCAGAATGAACATTTGAAACAGGGATTATCAGTGAGTTGGGATGTGTTGTTAAAGTAATTTCCATGTATTCATCTCCCACCCCCTTTTCCGTCATCAAGTTTACTCACTAAATGTTTATGTTTGTTTCTCCCTATAACATACCCGTTGAATATTGGATTAAAGCATATCTACATAACAGAAGAGCCCGGGTACAGGTTGATGGTTTTAAAAGTAAAAAAGTTCTACTGCGACAAGGCGTCCCTCAAGGTGGTGTCCTGTCGCCCACACTTTTCCTTTTATTTATCAACGATCTGGTTGCTGAGATACCAAATGGAATCAAAATGGCAATGTACGCCGACGACCTGGTACTGTGGTGCACCAATCAACATGCAACGATAGCCACAAAAACACTACAGCGGGCTACAAATGCACTTGAGGCATGGGCCAATAGATGGTGTGTCAGCATCAACACAGACAAATGTAGCACCACACTATTCACCCTCTCCCCAAAGCAAAAAGCCGGCACCATCAAAATAAACGAAATACCCCTGAGAGATGATAAAGAGCCCACATACCTAGGAGTCACATTTGATGACAGGTTGACATGGAGAAAACATATCAACAAGGCAGCAACCAAAGCCAGGAGGAAGACAGCAATTCTAAGAAAACTAAGTGGAACCACATGGGGAGCAGATGGGAAAATACTCAATAAAGTGTACAAGCAGAGCATACTTCCACACTTGGAATATGGGTCAACTGCATGGTGTTCAGCATCTAGTACTACATTAAAGGAGTTAGACAAAGTGCAAAATCAAGCGCTCAGAGTCATCACAGGAGGGATGAAATGAACTCCCATATTAGAAATTGAGAAAGCTGGGAAAACACAGGCACTGAGAGAACGCAGAGATACAAAGTTGCAAATACAAGCTGAAAAGTTCCTCAGTATGCCAGATCACCCGATAGAAAATAGATTTAAGAACCTAGCCTTGGGACGGTTAAAAAGAAGCAGCTTTATACACCAAGCAAAAAGAATATGTAGACAAACTCCTGACCTTCCAGAAATTGGCTGCCCACTTAAAAGTATTCCGGAACAAACCCCATGGAGAGAAAAATGTAAACTAACGATACAAATCCAGACAAATGTGAAAGGGATATTTGACAAGAAAGAGCAAGATAGTGTACAACGCAGAATGGCCACCCTCAGTTATATTGATGAAGAATACCCACAAGAACAATGGGTCAGAGTCTATACAGATGGGTCCGCAGAAAGTGCAGTTAGAAATGGTGGTGCTGGAGTGTACATCGAATTCCCAGATGGTACTAGGGATAAGTCCAGCGTACCAACCGGGAAGTACTGCCATAACTATGATGCAGAAACCCAGGCTATTAAGATAGCTACAGAGAAACTGCTAAATACCAACCTTGGCTTACAGTATGTGGTAATGCTCACAGATGCTAAATCAGTACTTGAAGCACTCCAGTTTAGGAAACTACCAGAATTGCAAACACTGCTGACACAACTCAGCGCTCAGCGAAGAGTCGTAATGCAGTGGATACCGTCTCATTGTGGAGTGCCTGGAAATGAGAAAGCTGATCAACTGGCAGGGGAAGGTGCGAAAAAAGAGCAGCCAGATGTACCAGTCACATACCACCAAAAGAAAAGAATCATTAAATCGATCAGGAAACCACCAGCCCCAGCACAAGACGACTATTTTATTATGGACAGACCAGAACAAGTCATTATCTTCCGCCTCAGAACAGGGCACAACCGATTACGTAACCACATGTACACAAAATTCAAGATAGGTGTATCAGCCATGTGCACCTGTGGAAATGTGCCCCAGACCGCAGAGCATGTACTCCAGGACTGCACCGATTTTGACACATTAAGGCAAACCTTTTGGCCAGAAAGAACAACAGTGGAACGTAAACTCTATGGACCACTGAATGAACTAACAACGACAGTGAAATTTATACAAGAGACAAAACTGCTGATATTGATAACTTATTTCAGGCGAACGAAAGAAGAAGAAGAAGAATACCCGTTGAATTTTCAATGTCTATGTCTAACTTTTCTTTTGAGTTTACAGGTGTTTTTGTTGTTGAAAGACTGCCCCATTCAGTGTTGCTGTCCATACATGTTATTCCATGTTTTTTCAACATAAAGCACATTTTAGTACCTTGAGATATGTTTCAACTTCAGGGGGAAATACCTTTTAATTATGAAGCATTTATCATAGCCTTATATCACACCAAATATTTTGACAGAAACATTTATGGAAAGAGGGAATAGAGGAAGGCAGTGAAAGAACATTCTTGTCAACCTTTTGTCATTGCACACATAGGTGTTAGCACATATACTAACACATGCTGTTGAAGTTAACACAATCTTGGGAAGCATGATTACTCTTGAGGAACTTGTTGATTATACCAGACAACTTCTACCTCTTCTACCTCAGTATTCTGAGCCTTTGAGGTTCATTGCTGCAGATAACTCCCTTCTTCATTCATCACACTCTCTCTACCATCTCGTGGTGGAGGAGTTTGAGTCTTGCAGTGACCCTGAAAACTATGCCGACAGAAGGATAGATACCAATAGGGCCCCTCAAGCCATATATGTCTGTCAATACTCTCTTCCCTCAGGTTAACCAGTGAAGCATGGGACTGACACCCCAGCCTTGGTTAAAACTCATTTTCATCCTGAAATAGCTATCTAACCACTCATAAATCTTCTTATTTTGTCCTACTACTTATGGTGTTGAGAAGAATGTTGCAAATAACTTGGACTGCCAGAATAACTAAGGATGATTGCCTGGAAATGGCTAATGAAAGTAGAACTTTATTTACAACAATGAGAAGGAGACAACATTCTTTGGTCATGTGGTGAGAAAAAGAGCACTGGAAAATACAGTGATGACTGGAAAGATTACTAGTAGAAGAGTCAGAGACAGACCAAGAGAAATAACAGTGGATGGCTTGAGACAGTGGCAAGGAGAAATATCATCAGGGGAATTGATCCACAACACCAGAGAACGAGCTCTGTGGAGATGCATGAATGCCTGTGACAGCTGGCAAGGCACTTGATGATGATGATGTATAGTGTAAAGCATCGCAGAGGGGAGTTAGATGTAGTTTCATTGCTTTTTGCTAGTTGCGTAGTGTGTGGTAATGTTATATTGTGATCTGTAGTGTCTCTTTTTACTCCATCCACCCATCTCTTTCTTGGTCAGCCACTTGCTATTCTCATGCTGCTGGCTGATTTCACTCCATTCTGTCCAGATGACCAAACCACTTGATTCTTAGATGTTCTATGAAAACATTTACCGGTACTGTGCTTACCATTGTTTGTTGTGTGACACTGTCTCATTGATAATGGTGATTATACTGTCATCCAGGAGGACCAGAACAAGTTGATCAAATGGACGATCAGCATCTTTCACAATTGTGCAGGCACAGATGAGAACATAGCCAGGCTTCGAGATCTTGAAGTTATACAGGTTGATTTGGGTTTTCATTGTCACTGTCACTTTGGTCACCAAAAACCATTAACTCCATTATCCTCTCCACAACCAAAATCATTACCTCTATCACCATCATCGCCACAATCAAAACCATTACTTCTGTTACCATCATCTCCACAACCAAAACCATTGCCTCTATCACCATCATCTCCACAACCAAAACCATTGCCTCTATCACCATCATCTCCACAACTAAAACCATTGCCTCTATCACCATCATCACCACAACCAAAACCATTGCCTCCATCATCATCATCACCACAACCAAAACCATTGCCTCCATCATCATTATTACCACAACCAAAACCATTGCCTCCATCATCATCCATCATCACAACCAAAACTATTGTCTCAGTCATCATCACCACAAGGCATCCAACCAAACACAGAAAACTGGATTGCTGTCGGAGATCTAAATAGCTACTCACCTAGCTGGGGCTACACAGACCTTAATGTGAAAGGAGAAGAGGTAGAAAACTGGATCATCAGCAACACTCTGGTTCTGATTAATAATCCAGATGACCCAGATACATACTACTCTCGATCTTGGAGGAAAATTAGCACCCCAGACCTGGCTATAGCAACTGAGGATGTGCAGAAAGTTACCAGCTGGGACGTAGGTCAACAGCTGGGAGGCACTGATCGCATGCACGTAATCCTGTCTATTAACAAAAGTAAAGAAATCACTGGGGAAAAGAACCCTCCCAGCTGGAACTACAAGAAGGCTAACTGGAGCCTTTTCCCTTCCTAGCTGGACAACATGTTGAAGAAAGTCTTCTTTAAAAGATTGGATCCAAATGCCAAACTAAAGACCATCAACACAACTATTCTAAATGCAGCCAAGAGTAACATACCACGAGGCAGCAGGAAAATCTGTAAACCTTACTGGTCGCCTGAACTGGACACACTGCATTTCAAACTTAGTACCAGGAGGGAAAATATGGAGAAGTATCCGACAGATAAAAATGTAATACTTCATAACAGAGCAAAAGCAGTCTTCATCAAAGAGATAAATAAACAGTTGAGGGAAAGCTGGCATAAAAAGACGCTGTCATTTAACCCAGAGAAAGTCATTTCATGTGTGTGGAATCTCAAAGAAAACCTAAATGAAGTCAAGACTGAAAAAGCCAGAGTTGTACTCAAAACAGACGATGGAGCTGTTACTGGCAAGCTACTCGCAGCACAGTTCTCCTTAGACCAGGATGATTGTTTGTACCTTCGCACTGTTCACTCACTCCAAAAGGACCCTTACAACATGTAGCTTGTCATGCATTAGTTCACACCATGTAGTGTAGAACCCGCCAGTCTATATGGTTGTTCATTTCCTCAAACACTATGGCATGACCTAGAGAAAATATCCAAAAGGCGCTAACTGCCCGGGACGTCTGAAGCGATGCTTGCCACTTTGGATGGAGCATACTTGCCTCCACCTTTCTCAACATGCTCTGTGAGTTGAGAATATTTGATAGTTATGATGTCATGTCTGAAGTAAACCTTGGTCATTGGCTTTGTACTGGATGCATTAACACTACTACACAACATTCACAGGTGGCCATTCCGTATCTGGACTCCAATAATGAGAACATTCGTTTGAGCAGCATCTCAGTTCTGGCACTGTTGGTGAATGAAGAGGAAGCAGAACTACTAAGTACCCATGTCTCCATTTTCCAGTTTATGATAAAGAAGTTAAGCAAAGCCCTGAAGAAGGAGGATCACAAGGATTTGGGGTGGTCAGCTGCTGAATTAACTACAGGTATAATTATGTGTAGGAAGGGAGAAGGATTGGTTATGTGTGTTTGTGTGTCTCTGTGGGGAAGTTGCTCTAATTTAACCTTTTGGTTGAACAGGATTTCTAGGACTTGTGCCTGGGTGATCCTCATCTGAATGGTGACACTTTATGTCGCCAGGTCTTGGTCGCTCATTGTGCAGTCCTGGTGGGATTGAACGACACACACTAACGTGTCATCTACAGGGAAGCTCACCAAAACAAATTATGGAAAATTTACTTTACGCACTACTGAATTGTTTCCCTTATAAAAAAAATTATTAAAAAAAGAAATGAATGGACCTATGGCTTCAGCTATGTTTATTGCAGGAGTCATAAATTTAACACAGTGGCGAGTGTCAAAAGTTATGATTGCAGAGGGAGTGATAATGGTAGCCAGGCATAACTGTCGGGCGATTGCATAATGTGCGATCATGGTAGTCAATGGGTTAACTTGGCGAGACTTTTGAGATTCTTTGGATCTGGATTTATCAAGTTTTGTGTGACACCTTAAGGAGTGGCTGACTGAATAGTTAGAGCGTTGGGTTCTCTCATGGGAGGCCATGGTTCAATTTTATAGAAATTGATTTTTTTTTTTGGGGAGGGGGGGGGGGGGATAAAACTTATAACTTACACAGTTCATGATGGCTACACTAGCCATGCATCAGACACATGACCACACTGTGATACACATCATTCGCCCCGTCCCCCTCCCCCCCAAATGATTAGAAAAAACCAAAAATGGGCTTGTAAATTCAGTGTGACACGTTGGACGAGCGAAGAACTGCTTTGTGGAGAGAAACACTAGGGGATAAAACAGTGCGCTGTGAACTCAGTTCTGCCAAAAAGTTTTTACTGATTATATATGCATCAAGAGTGAAAGAGATAGGGCATGGAAGATGTCATTGTTGTTTTTATGTGTGTGTATGCCTGACTGTATGTGTGTGCATCTATGTGCACATGCGTCCATGTGTTTGTGTAATATCCAGCATCCACACTTTCCACTGTTGAATCCAATGTTGTTTCTGCATACATTACACAGCTATTGGGAAACTGGCCAGGAATGATGCCAACAAGAAAGTCCTGGTTGATGAAGGCTGTCTACCACTTCTTGTTGAGCTGCTGAAAGCTGGCGAGGAAAGGGAAATTAAAGGTAAGCATATGACTGCAGCAAAAACAGTCCATCAGTCGGTCAGCATGTCCTTTACATAATACCACTGTCTTCACAGCACTCCTCTTTCTCTAGCCAATTCTCCAGCCATGTGTACTTTCACAGTCAATGCATTTTGTATCCACCTTCAGGGAGGTCAGCCTCTGCCTCTTTTTCTGGAAACTGTACCCTGTATCACTATTTTATCCAGACCACCATGGTGCTTGACATGTCTACTATACCACCGCTTTTGGGAGAGAATGCTGTTTATGAGCCAGTTCCCCTTGATCATGCAGGATGTAGACATTTTCTTCTTCTTGCTCCATGATATTCTAAAAATGTTTCAGTAGCATTTCAGTTTGAAAGCTCAAATTGTTTCTGAAGTTTGAAGCTTTTTTAACAATGTATCAACATCCTGGCACATGGGAAGTAACCCATAAGTGCTCCGTTCTTCTTCTAAAAAAAGTCTGAGTTCAAAGAAGCTCAGCATGGTGCACAGGCTCTGTAGCACCGGAAAGGATCCTGAAATACTTTGGGTAGATTTTTAACTTGAAATTTTGCTTGGGCAGCGCCGTTAGGCTACTCTTTTCGATTGCCAACTGCCAAGGTTTTTTTTTTTACGTGCGCAACAGTGCGCACAGGCATCCGATCTTCTCACTACCCAGAGACCAGGGGGAATTACTAGAAGTTCAAGTCCTAGCACTCGAGGCGGACACCATGCCTCGAGACCACGCAGCCCTCTAAATTTCTTTTTTAAAGACTGAGTGAGAGTCTATAACCCATATTCATAAGTTGACGTGGGAAAGATGCATGATCTCAAAATTTTTACTTGAGCCACAGGTTCTTTTATACTGTTTAGCCTCCACATCGCTAAAGCAAGTGCTTTTCTTACTTCTTTTATAGTTGCTATTGTTGTTCCTTATTGAGCCTAAATATTCAATATATGTGACATTTTCAGTCTTTTCATTGTCGATATTAAAATGTGATTAGTGTGATGTATTCATAGTGGACATTATTTTAGTTTTTTCAGATTCAGACATAGACTGTCTTCTTCATTGTGCTTTTTGACAGCCAAAATAATTTTTTTTAGCAAGAACATATTATTATAGTTCTACAATTAGTTGTTTACTCTATGATTGTTGAAAGCTGTTGATACCGCACTGGCACTGCTGCTGCTTCTTCCTTCTTCTTCTCTGCTTTTTAGCCCGTTCTGCATCCTCCTCTACCTTCTACTTTTGCATCCTTCTTCTTTCTTTTTATCTTGTTCTTTCGCATCCTTTTTCCTTCTCTTATGTCACCTCTTCTTCTTTGTTAGCCTCCTTTTTCTCATCCATTTTCCTCCTATGCCTTCTTCATGTTCCTCCTCTGCATAATTCTTCCTCCTGCTCTGTTATCTTCTTCTTCAGCCTTCTGTTACTCATCCTTTTTTCTTATCTTTCTTCCTCCTGAGACTTTTTCTTTCTCCTCTCCGTCTTCTTCCTCATTTTCATATTTTTTCCCCAGCCTGCATATTTTTTTATATTTTCAAACTCTTTTTTTGTTAGAGAGCCTAAAGCATTCTTACCCATAATGAAAGCATGGGTCTGTAACATCCAAATAGGCAGCATTTACAGTTCTACATGTTACAATATCTGGCCAGGTTTCTGTAGTGTGCTCAGTCAAAATTTAAACAATACAGTAACATACCATGCATCTATGGAGATATTAGGGTAACAGCTGAACACACACAGTGTGTTGCTTGAGACAGAAAGAATTAATTATTTTATTTGTAGCATTTTTTTGTATGGCTGTTAAGATTCATATCTTATCTTTATGTCCTTGCATATAAAGTTATTCAGATGAGTCTGTATTATCTTGTTTACAGAAGCTTTATGCTGTATATGGGCTCTGTCCTTTGATAAGGAAAACAAGAACAAGATGGTAAATGAGCCTGGATTGGTGACAGCTGTTTACAAAAAGTACCTCACATCGAATGGTTCTAGCCAGCATGACTGTCAAGGAATTCTGTGGTCCTTGCGGGATGAGCTTTTGACATCTCTGGAGTACAAAAGCATAGGTCAGTGAATGTTGAATGAAGAATTGACATAACAGCACTCAGGAAAACTCCCATAAGCGCTCCATCCCCATCTTCAGCAGCAAGCGAAGAGTTCCATTTCCTATGGCACCAGTAACTCTGCTTGTATATCCATCTCACCTTCAGTGAACAACCAGTCCTTACCGGCATATGGGTGGGTACAAACGAGATCCACCCACACTGGACTACAGGTTTCATGGTAACCATATTGTGAAGCCCCAGTATAACTGCTGATTAGCTATACGTCTCAGTAAGGTTTCTGGTTTTTGTACCTGTTTTGATTCTCATCCTTGAGATGTTAGTTGTACAGACTGCAGTCCTTGGGGGAGAAAACTGTAAAAAAGGACATACACATACCACACACTCATGCGCACACATACTTATTAAGAGAGGTGAAGAAAAGATGCTAGCATTGGATAGAGCACACATTGAGAAAATCTGAGAACAAAATAACTAGAATATCTTTTCACTGGAACCCAAAGGAACATAGAAATAAAGGAAGACCCAAAAAATTTTAAAAACACACAGAGAAGGGAGCTAGAGAGTGAAACTAAAAAGATGGGGAGGACACAGGGAGAGCTGCATGTGATAGCAAAGGATAGAACAACCTGGCATGAATTGGTTGAGGGCCTATGCTCTATTGGGGGTTAAAAAGGCAGAATAAGAGGACTGAAATGGTATATTTTCCTCAACTATTTTCTCCCATCTAGTTGCTACATTAATGCACTTGGCCCATAGTGTTTTCTTAAGCTCTTTTTATTTCATATTCAGCTACTTTAGCTCCTAACTTCTGGTCTAAAATGGAGGATTAGGCATGGCAGAATGTTAAGCTTTGAAGTTATTTCTGCTTCTGACAGAACTTTGCTAATGTAGTTTCCACATATGGACGGTAGTCTACAATTTCAGTGCCTGAGCTACTGAGCTTAATGCAGCCCTGTGAGCTGTTTTTTTTTTCATGTGAAATGCCTTTCATTTACGCAGCGCTTGAGTCGTTGTATTCAATATAATGCCGATAGCCGCTTATCAAGCCAAAATACTTCCATCAATGACAAACTGCATTTCTGGTGTTGACTGTGGTGCCTCTAGCAACTGCCTTATGCATTTACTGCGTGCACATATTTATGGATTGTGCTAGAACTAATTGTTTGTTCACCAGTTTTTCATATGGGACAGTGAAGGACATTTCATTTGATTTTCACTGGCACAAGAACAAAGCAAGTATGGAGTGACCCAATCGCAGTGAAGTTGAAACCTCGACTAAGACTAAGTCTAAGATCCAATAATTTATTAATTAAATAACTTTTTTGACTAGAATGTTACCTCTTTGAGTCCCAAGGAAAGCATCATACGTTCATAGATTCCTACTTAAAAGCCCAGTAAACACAAGATACGCTGTTTTTACTTCTCTCTTGACTATCCCTTGGGCCTGTGATGCTAAACCCCTTGGGACTCAAAGAGTTAAAATGTATTAAAGTTATAAATGTAAGTAAAGTAAAGGACCCTTTTTTACACTAGTGGCAAATTAAGCATATGATGCTGGACTCATATTTTATCAGTTCCTAATGGGTGATGTGGTGAGCTTCACACCAGCTGCCTTTACTTGCCCTGACTTTTTTGAGTGCTCATTTTAGGTTGTGCCAACCTAGGAGCCAAGGTCTTTATAAAATATATATATATATATATATATATATATATATATATATATATATATATATATATATATATATATATATATATATATATATATATATATATATATATATATATATATATATATATATATATATATATATATATATATATATATATATATAGGTGAGCTTCTAGCCGCTGCAACTGCTCCCAGCTGTTAAAGTCATACCTCTATGAAACTGAAAGATTTAATTCAGCAAGAGAGCACATACAAAGTAAGTAAAGTAAAAAAAAGTAAAGTTCCCTTTTCACGCCTTTCGGCGCATCGGGCATATGGGCTGAGCATTCCATATTTTTACAGACCATCAGCACTCGGTGGGTAATGTGGTCAGCATTACGCCGGCTGTCTTTACTTTCCCAGGACAGCCCATCCTGGTACCCATTTTAGGCTGGGTCGACCTGCGACGTCCCATACCACATACAAAGTAATGCACCCTTTCAACCTTTATTGGGCTTTTAGGGCTAGACCTGTATTTTATAGACCCAAAGACTCTGCGTGGTACCCATTCGAGGCTGGGTCGACCTGGGAGCCAAGGTCATTGTTTTTTAAAAGTCTGGTGCCGTCAGGACCTAAACCCATGACCTTCCGATCCAAAGGCTTATACACTTATTTCTGTAATAGTTGATTCTATAAAGGTGAAGAAATATCAGATATAAAAAGCAGAACTGTACTAGCCAGGAAAGTGTCCTTAACATCTGGGATGATGAACAATGCCCATAGTATTCTAAAAACTCAAGGTAAACTTGTTTCAGCATTAAAGAGGTTATGTGCCCATTGTTGTTGCATTTGGGGGTAAGGCTGGGGGGGGGGGGAATGAGGAGTAGAACAGGCTAACTGTTGCTAAATAAGTATGTTGTAAAAGATGACTAATAAAGTGGTTTCTGACACTGGATGTGTTAGGCAGAAGATATGGAAACGGTAGCCACAATAAAGCATGCCAACTGCCCTTTGAAGGGAGAACTTAGAAGAAGAAGCAGAAGAAATCTGCCCTGTTACTGAATGCTTGCTGTTGTATGTTGGTGGTTATAGCTCGCAAGAGAATACTGAGTGTGTTGTTGGATATCCTGTTCAACTTGTTAGGATTGCTAAATTCTGAGGATATCGTCTAAAATAGTGTGAATGTGGATAGCAAGGGGAAACCAAGAAATTATATATTATAAGTAACTGTTTATGACTAGAGCATGCATCTTCCCTGTGGCTACCTACGGATGTGAGTCGTGGACTATCTCTCAGTCCTTAAGAAAGAGAATAGGGGCTTTTGAGCTGAAATGCTATAGAAAGATTCTCAGAATATCTTGGACAAAGAAGAGGAGAAATACTGACATCATGAAAGATCTGAACATCAAGGAAGATTGGCTAATAAACAGCATCCTGTCTCGGAAGCTGAAATATTTTGGTCATATCAAGCGCCACAACGGATTGGAAACAATTATAGCAGAAGGCATGGTACCAGGAAGGAGGGGCATGGGCTGAACGACACGAAAATGAGACAGGATATAAGTGACTCCTTGAGTGTGAAAGTGCATGAGGCGGTAAAACTGGCGAGAAACCGAGTTTCTTTCAGGCAGACTGTGATGAGAGGGATGTTCCGCAAAGGACCTGCTACATGATGTGTGCTTATGACTGACTGAACATTGAAAATACCATAGTAATAAAAATGGATGAAGCAGGGGTACTGTCACGGGACCGGGAATCTTTCCAGCGATTTTTTCTTGCAGTTTGTTAGTTAGTTATTCAACAGATTATCCTCACTGCACAACGGAAAAGTCCATCTATCTTCAGTATATCACCCCAGCGCTTAAAACACCAGTTCTGTTTGGTTTACTATTCTTCTTTGGCTATCTGTATAGTGTCCATGATTGGCAACACCTCTTTTGACCTGAAGTTCTTATATTCTTTTGAGTGTTTGCTGACCATCGTCTCCTGAATCAGCTCCTCGTCCTGCCTGCTTGAGAGTGTTGAAAATGTCGACCCGCTTCATTGTTTTCCTGTACCTACAATGGCCCTACTAGCAAGCCAATCTGCTCATCCATTCCCTCTTACCCTAGAGTGTCACAACACAAAAATGAAACTGATTCCTATCAGATTAGATTTCCTTAATGACTCTAACCATTTTCTTCAAATACATCCTGTCTCTATCTTCTTAAGCATGCTCATGGAATCACTTAAAATCATGAGAATTATGTTCTACAATGGACTTTCTGCAGACAGTTATGCCAGACAATTATATATCTTGTTTATTTGTTAATGTTCTTGAAATAGTTCTGATTTTGATATTACCCCCTTACATGTTTTAAAATTTGCTATACCATATTGCATAGTTTATATGAGGGGGCTTCAAATGAAAACTCTAACTTAGAGATTGGTGGTTGTTTTCTTGTACAAGGCCTGCAATCGACTCAAGAGTCACTACTGTGCCTGACCCGGTCTGTCACAGAAGTCACACCATTTTGAAACTTCCTACTCCACTCATACACTCGCTGGACTGGCAGCCATGCATCAACACACTGGACCTTTATTCGCGGATGAATTTCTGTAGGTTTCACACCTTCACTATCAGAAAACAGATACCAGAACACTGCTCTTCTTTGGTGCATGTCAGAAGTGGGGTGGCTGTCTTTAATCTGTCATTGTGGCATCACTGTGCTTGTCTGCACTGGGATGTCATGTGCTTAACACTCTTGACATCCTTAGCAACAGTAATGACAGGTTATTGTAAATTCTATCTTTTAAGGGTTTTATTTGAAGCTCCATTATAAATACTTGCAACTTATGTCTTTTTAACAACCTGTTTCTCAAGTGACACAATACTGCCTGTCTTTTATCCAGGTTTGTAATCCTCAGTTACAGTTCTTGCAAAATATTGCTTCACCTTTTCAGTCCATTCTGCTTGTCATTACTCAACATGTCTATTCAGTCTTCTGTCTCCTGTATTGCCAATCATATTCTAATTCAAATGCTGTGCCCCACCATGATGGTACTGTTGAATCTAATACCACCCCCCCCCCCTCTCTCTCTTTGTGTTTGTGTGTGCTTGCGTGTATATGTGTGTGTATATATGAGGTAAAAGACTTTTTTTCCAGGCATATTGGGCATATAGGGCTAGAACTGTATTTTATAGACCAATCATCTGTGTGTGTATATAAATATTCATTGCCTGTCAAAAGTATATGTGCAAAATTCTATAGCTTGAGCAGTTATCCCAAGGGTCACGGGAACAGAAATGGCACTCTTGAACTAGACAACGCAGTTTAAAACTGAACTCATGATCTCCTGAATATATGGCTGACAATTTGACCACTTTACCATGAAGATCCTCATCATTACATGTTACTGTTTGCTAAACTGTTGCCTGTGGTTGCTTTCAGGCCATGTCATGATCAGCTATCAGTGGGCAAATCAAGAGGTTATCAAGAAGATCTGTCATGTGCTGAGATGCCATGGGGTCCCTGTGTGGATAGACATTGACTATATGGGAGGCTCTACTCTGCAGGTGAGATCAATCTTTCATTCCTTTAAGATATTGCATTAAATGCTTAATGTGGATCGTTAATTTCATTAGCCCCTTTGTCTCTTTCTAGAGCATCGGTTCTCAACCAAACCTTTCATAAAGGTCACCTAAGACGGTCGGAAAACACATATTCATTGGAGTTATAAAGAAAAATAATTGTTTGGATGGTTGTCACAACATGAGGGAACTGTTTGAAGGGTCACAGCATTAGGAAGGTTGAGAGCCACTGCTCTAAAAGATAGTCTGTCTAAAAGATAGTCTGATACTGTGCTGTACAGGGGTATAGAAATGATGACCAGCTAGAAAGGCTAACTGCAACAGCAATATGCCAGAGAGGTCAGATATTGACAAAAAGGTGCAAAAATCATAACTATGCTGAAAAAGGCTCTGCAATTTTTTCACTTGGACAAACGATAAATAATAATAAAAAGAAGCAGAACGAACGAACGAACGAACGAACGAACAAACTTTATTTTCAAAGGGTTAAGAATTGGGCACGCAGGCCCGTCTAACATTCTGCCCTTCCACTCCGATCCTTTCATGCAATTTTTCATGTGTACCTCATTTCATAGTTAATAATAATAATAATAATAATAAAAAGAGGAATGCAAAATTTAAAATGTAAGAAATATTTAAAAAAAAAAAAAAAAAAAATTACAATATCTTAGTCTTAATTACACATGCTGGAATGTGCTCTAATTTAAAGAGTTTAATAATAAGCATATTCCAAAAATGATGTAAGTCTAAAAAGTTGCCTAATATAAACATCATCAAAACCAATTAAATATTAGTTGCAAACATTGGAATCTTCAGTTTTAAACAATAATAACCTTCAGTTTTAACCCCCCCCCCTCCCCCTTTTTTTTTCCCCCCACCCATTAAAAAAAAAATTTATTAAGACATCTCATGGAAATCCATCATAGCCTTAACATACTATAATCTTTTAGGGGGGCATATAGTCTGTAGTGAGATAATATTCGAATAGTTTCCGATTGTATCTATAGGGGTTATTGATATTTGTTATTTCCGGTGGAAGATTATTCCACAGCTGAGCTGCAGAGTACGCGAAGCTTGTTTTGTATAGGTCTATTCTAGGTTTAGAAATATGCAATATGTTAAGGCGTATACTATGTCTTACATTGTATTTAAATAATGGCCAAAGGTAACATGGAGCATTTTTAGATATGATTTTGTGAATAAGTTTACCTTTATTGAATAGTAGGCGTTCCTGGAGCGATGGGAGTTGAAGGTAAGATTTCCATCGATGATCAGGCCTAAAGTTTTGTGCTCAGTTACACTTCCTTCTGATGTGTTACCTAGGTAGAGTTGAAGGGTTCTATGAGAGTTTAAAGTGAATGTTTAAAGTGAACAGGAATAAGGAGGAGAAAAAGGGAGGAAGAAGAAGGAGGAGATGGATAAACCTGTGGTATGTATAATGAACTACAGAGGCAAACATAACGACATCAGGACAGATGGAGGGGAGGAGACCAGAAGAACAGGACACTGGATAGTAAGTTCAATATACAAAAGATACTTCCATGCAATACAGACATGGACAAGACAAGTAAATAGGAAAACTATAGGATACATCAAATAGAACACTAGTTCCTATTTAGGACTTGGTCAGCTTGAAAGCCAAGGTCATTGTTGAAATAAAAAGTCTGGTTCTGTCAGGCTGAACCTACGGCCTTCTGATCTGCTGACAAGCATTTAGCCGCTACACCACGACAGCTCCCTTGAGTGTATATGTGGATATTCATATAGATGTGTGTATATGCACACACTTCTAAATGTATCCCTCCATGTGTGTGTTTTTATATATATATATTTAAATGTAATTGTACATGTATGTCTGTATATGTGTTTTGGCGTGTATGTATATTTGTACATACCACCCCCGTCCCCAGCAACCCTCACCAGGTACCAGAGTACCAGTCCAAGCCACTTATTTGGGTGTCAGTCTTGCAACTGAAAACCCGGAGTGAAAAAAAATGAATGCGGAGACAGGGAAGTTAAATGTCCTGGACATGGAAATGCATGTGGCAGGAGAACTGGTCAAGGGTTAAGAATCTTTCCATCTGATGACAGAGATGTTCTATAACAGACCTGCTACATAATGATGACAGAGTTACATCTGGGTAATATTCAACATCACAACATTCAGGGTAAGCTCATATTAGCTCAGTCTTCCTTTTCAACAACCAGTAAGGAGACTCCATACTGGTGGTACCCATTGTCACCTGGTTAACTACCTTTCTTCCCCCCCCCCCACCTCCCTCCAATGGCTTGAGCTGCAACCATGCCAACAATCACTCTCCTCTGTATCATTCTCTCTAGATACTTAAGCTTGTAAACAGTTTTCCAAGTTGTGTGAAGTTTTGTAATGTCAGCAGCTGATGGTAGGTTAGTTAGTCGAGGTTTAAACATCACAGCAATCAGGTTTCCCCATACTTGCTCCGTTACTATGCCATCTAATCAGATGAAATGTCCCTCACTGTCGCCTATGAAAAACTGGTTTATAAGCAAATAGTTCCAGAACAATCCAGAAATATGTGCACGCAGTTAATGTGTATTTCAGTTGCTCGGGGCGCCAAAGTCCACATTCGTCACCAGAAATGCAATTTGTCGTTGATGGAAGTAGTTGATGGGGCACGACAGGACTGCAACCAAGCACTAAACTCAGTAGCTCAGGCAGCAAAACCGTAGACTACCGTCCTCATGTGAAAACTGCATTAGCAAAGCGCTATCGGAAGCAAAAATAACTTCGAAGCTTAACATTCTGCCAAGCCTTTCCTCCATTTTGGCCAGAAGTTCCATAGGCAGGTGATCTCAGATGGTGATGTCTGTTATTATATTTATTTAGAGTAATATTATGATCTGTATTTGTGTAATATTTCAGGCCATGGCTCGGGCTGTGGAGAAGTCCTTCGCTGTTATCATTGCCATGTCACAGAAATACAAAGATAGTCCAAATACAAGGGCAGGTATGTAACACCTAAAATATACAGTTTTATACTTTTATTTGCCCGGCTCGCTAGCTCAGTTGGTTAAAACCCTCTGCGCGGCGACAGGGTGACAATCTCCTTGTGGTCTGGGTTCACCTCCGGGGGTAGGCAGAAAAGCCACATTTGCTCCCAGAGTATCATGGAATTAAGGCCGAAGGGTTGCGATATCCATGGTACCAAGCCAAAGGGTTTACAACTCACAGTTTCCTGATACTTAAAAAAAAAAAAAAAATTTATTTTGTTTCCTAACTGGAGTATCTTTGGGGACATTGAAACAATATAAGAATCAAATAAAATGATTTCAATTAACCCAGTACAATTTGCTTTTTTCAGATAGTGCCATCCCAATATATGACAAGACCTCTCCACATACTCACTTCCCCCAACTTAAAGGAACAAAAAAATATAAAAGAGGAGGGCAAAAAGAAATCCCTAGCACTATTAACAAGAACTTAGAGAGACAATTCCAGATAATTCTTTCATGCTATCCCTACTATTACTAATAAAAGAAGAAGGCATGGTACCAGGAAGGAGAGGCAGGGGCCGACCAACACAAAGATGGGCACAGGATATAAGTGACTCCTTGCGTATGAAAATACATGAGGCGGGAGAGCTGGCGAGAGACCGAGTTTCTTTCAAGCACCATGATGAGAGCGGCGTTCTGCAAGGGACCTGCTACATGAGTTAGATTATCTTCACAGCACTCCAAACACATCTATAGGCACTCAGATTCCCCTCTTAACATATTCATCTGCGTTGCACGGTTAAAAGTACCAGTCATATGTTGGTTAATAAGACTTCATGTATGTCCGGTGTTCTTATCATGCTTGGCTGTGCCGATCTTGACTCAACATTTCTCATATTATTAGCAGTAATGTGGCTACGCTGCTTCCCCCCGGATCATGCTCAAAGAATCACTCAGCACACACACACGGAAATGTTCCTGTGATTATAGCCACATGAAAGCTTGTTTCACCGCCATCACCTCCATCGTCATGCTGCTGGTAGTCATGGAGAAGACACCGCTGGCTACTTGAACTGTTCTGCCTGAAGAGCAAGCTGCAAATGCCCATGCACTCTTATGTCCTCCTATAACGGACCCTGCTACATGATGATGATGATAACCCCTACTGCTCATGACTGAATTACTGCTTCATTTAATGGTGTCTTCTATTTCACTTGAATTGAAGTTTCAGTTTAGAATATTTCAGAATTATTGTTTGATCTTTAATTATGTATCATTTGTGTTACAGAAGCAGAATATACATTCCAACAACGCAAAACTGTCATACCCTTAATTATGCAGAAGGATTACCATCCAGATGGGTGGCTTGGCCTGATATTAGGAACCAAGTTCTACTATGACTTCAGTGGGAAGTACCCATTTGAATCTAAAATGAGTGCTTTACTGGGAGCGGTCAAATCTGTAATGAAGGGTGATAATGTGAATGGTCACAGGGAGTCTGAGGTAAGACATACATTATATATTAACTCATTCTTGTCATAGTTAGTTATTTCTTAATGCTTCTTTTTTTTTCTGCTTTTGCTTTTTTAAAAATAAATTTGGCACCTTGTATTGTACAGCTACGCTGCAGTGTATGCACTTTTTGGCCCAACACATCTGGTTTAAGAAAAACCCCTAGTAAGTCACCTTTCACGATATGAAGGGGCAGTGTTGTTTTGTTTTCTCTCTAAAATCAGGCTCCAAATCCATGTGCAAAATTATTTTATACAGTACCAGACAGAGCTAAATATTTAGCTGATCTCCTATAATTGCAACTCTTTCACTCAAAGAAGCCTCTAAACCAACACCTCCGTCTGTCTGTGACTCGATCCCATTAATGCTGCTTACCTGGCATTCCTGCAGTGGCCTGTTTGCAAGAAGCCTAGTCAGTAGCAATGGTTC